CAAATATTTGTCCTGTGATCTTTGGGTAAGAGATCAAAACAACAACAGAAACAGCTCAAGGCACTCAAAAACTATTCTTTTACTTTTTAAGTAAAATTTAAAATTTCCACATTTTTTGAGTGCCTTAGTCTATCATTTGGTTATTAAAGGGTAAAAAGAGATGAAAGGCTGTTTAAACGCAGACACGTCATTAGCAGCACGCTAGCGCAGAAACTCTATTGAAAATACTAGGGTAAAATTTAATTTAAAGATATGGCGGGGAATAATTTAATGCAGTGCTTCTTGTTTGGTCTGAAACCTACTTTATATCGTATCTCAACCAGACAGTGAAGATTGCTTTTTTTTTTATCTTAAACGTGCCATATTTGTATGGAATGGCAATTAATCGGAAGCCCATGAGACTGGCCGACTGAAATTAAAAGTCTGTGTAAATATACCCTATTGACGTCTATAGAGAACAAGAAAACAAACAAAGAATACAAATTCCAATAGCTACTGGTTTTCAACATTCATCAAAATATCTACTTTGTATTGTTGACTGAAGATACAGGTGGTTTGAAAGACCTGTACCCTTCACTAAAAAAGGTCCAGAATTTATCCCAAACACAGCTATTTGTCTCATTTTGACTGCTATGCCATAATAAATTGTGAAAATAACCATTAAAGAAGGCTTTAAGACCAAGCAGAATGAGGCTTCCGCTTGACTGAGTAAAGTTAAATCATCGACGTGACTAAGGAAAGCTAAATCGTTGACGATTTAACTTTCCTGTCACGCTGAAGATAGAAGTTTCTATCTACGTTCTGAATGATTTTGAGGTATTGATAAGTTTTGCATGCCATATAGGAAACAATTTGTGTGTTATATTGTAACAACTTTTAAAAAACTTATAAAAAAGTTGTCATTTAATTAGAATATGTCAATAACTCAATTTTGACAAAATGTCAGATAACCTATAAGGTGACGAAATGTGCTGCCAGTTTGTGTTTGCCGTATACAAATGACAATAGTCTAGTTTTTAATTTAAAACTTGAACAGCATCCTTTTTTAGAATGATATATGATGTAATACATTTTCATTTGAAGAATAAGCATTATTCTCATGTTTTTCTTCTAAATCTTTAGAAAATGTTTTTAGTACATGAAAAAGTGTGGTTGATGACCATCCGACAAGCTAATCCAGCTAAAAAACAGTGCTTAAAAAGTATTTAAATCTCATGATTAAACTGAAAATGAAGTATATAACTGCAAAAAGGTCCATATTTTAAGAAAAAAAAATAGAAACGGGAATGATTCCTGCCTTTTGGGGTTTAGTATTTTAATTAACGACTATAAAACGACTTTTATGGAGTATGAAGTTTATTATTCAAATACAAAATTGGCAGTTGTTTTTAAAGAGAAAACAAAACGATTAAATATTGTAACGATACAAAAAAGGCACATGTTTTTGTCCCTCTAAACACACAAGATCCACACGCTGGAATGTTAAGTCTGACTGTCCAACACTGACATCTACTGGACCGTCTCAACAAATCTCAGACACATTTATACATATAAAAAGTTCACATGACACATTTTAGACGTTTAAACAGTCTGTTGGCCAGTAAAAATCTTTTCAAGGAGCATTTAAAGAGTTTAGATGCAAAGACTTCTAAATTCCATCTGAAATTTTCCTCTAAAATTAGCATTTCTATCACGCTCCTGAGTGTATGTTCAGTAATATCACTTGTATGGCAAAGAATGAGCCCTTTTTCTGGTCTTTAAAGTGAAATATCTCAACATAAACAATGGAGGCCGTACATTTTCGATGAAAATATAGAGGTTTTTGCATCTGAACTCTTCATTTATTCACAGAAAATGTGTTAACAACAGGAAACACTCGCATAACAATTTCCATCTTATTTCCAGTTCCAGTTTTTCTTCAAACGTCCATACTTGTTTTTAACAAGAGATATATGACACATGATAATTTAATAGTCTCTGGTCTGCTGTTAAACAGTCTAGTAAATGAATATCTACGTCTACAACTAGAACCACACAGATAGTTTAACAAAAAAACAATGAAAACAGATCCTACAAGAGTGGTGAAGACAAAAAAAGCAGCACATTTTTGTCTCGAAGGACAATGCCTGTGTGACCAAGACAGTGATTTATGTTGTTCTTTATCATTTTCCTGCTCTCCAAAGTGTTCTTTCTTTACCCCTCCAAGACAAGAAAACAGGAAAACAGTTTCAATCTGCTCCTTCTCTTAAAAAGATAAGGGAACAGGAAGTGCATTTCCTTGCGCTCACACAGACAGGAAGTTGACATTTCTGTGACGGAGCTGGTCATTTTAAACGGTAAAGGAGAAGAGTGCTTGGCGTGTAATTCCCTACAGGAAAGGGAGACGGTGGCTTCCGCAGATTGTGCCCGTGGCTAATGGAGGGAATAGGGTAGAGTTTGTGCACAGGGGTAAATATTTAAAGTATAAAGACTGTTTACACGTTTTGTCAATGAACGGAGATCCTCTTCTCTGTTTAGTCTTGAATGGAGGATGAACAATATTGTCAAGACACTGGCTGGTCTGCTACATTTTGACTGTTGTCATGATTTTTTTTAACAATTTTGCAATATTCTCAGGTTAATAATATAGTCAAGCTCACGATTCACAATACATTGATTCCGACCACTTGTAACATTTCAACAGGCATACAACTCACTGTGATTTCCTGAGACGTCTGCAATTGCCTTATTATGCTCGACCTTTGAGATTTGGGCTTTACTCATAACAATCGACGTGCTGATGAGTCCTGTCAAATAAACTTGGAGTAGCCTTTAATTCTTTCAAAGTACAGTTATCAGCACTTCCTCTGTTGCTCCCACAGCAATACAGTAGTTTTCCTGATGAGAAGAGTCTGCTGAACAATGCTGGCTTCACAATTACACTGGCCAAAAAACATTACAGACAATGATAAACTGACAAACAGAAGATTTTCCTTTAAACAAAAACACGAGACGTAAAAAAACAATGCAAAAGTAATGATGTTCAACACACTCTCATTGAGACTCACAACTGATACTCTTGTTTTGGTCAATTGATGGTGAATTTGTATGTAATATTAAACCCCAGGATAGTATGTGAAATGCACCATTGTAAACACATGTACAATATATGCAGAGCTCACGCATGGACTTTAATTATTATTTTTTTGTTAATGAACTGACTGCTGCTCTAAAGCTTTGAAATAAACTTTGGAGATGGAGCAAAAACAACAGCACACTACTAAAGATGTGACCTGTAAGCACTCGTATTGATGAGTAAATGTATAAGGGGGTTAAAAGTGTTTTAACTTGTAGAAAGATTTCATTCTTATTGATCATAACTAGCCCCACACAGAATCTGTGTGCGCAGAAATCCACAGATTTTTAGCCCATCGAGTCTATTAATTGACGAGTAAATGTGTGTAAATTTATATTCATTCATTTAAATTCATTTAAATTCATCATGAATTAATTTCAGTAATATTATTGACTAACATGAGAATGTTCATATGATTTATTTACACTACAGTTTGTAAAGTAATATTATCTGTCTTGTAGTAGAGATATTAAATGAGAGACTTGCTTTGTTTACCAAATAGGTGGTTCTATTTGGATTTGCATTGTAAACAATACATATAAGGTAAACAAGTTTTTATTTTTTTATTTCATATATTAAGTTTGTAGTTATGATACTCCCAAAATCATTCTGCATAAATTCACAGATTTATTACAAAATTATCATCAGAAATAGCAAAAAATGGCAACAGATTCTGTCTGGCTGTTATCATAACTTTTGGGTAGGAAAAGCAAAGATACTAGGCAGGATTAATCCTTGTGTTGAGCCTGTGTTCATTCACACTAACAAATGGAGCATACTTTGAAAGGATGTGCGTTTGGCTTAGTGTATGCTAATATTCATGAACAAAACAAGACATGGTATACTTTAGGCTTTTGGGTTGGTAAAATATTGGTGCATGCCAAAAGATTCATACAAATTCTCCACCAATTGTCCAAAAATGTAAAACAGTTGAGCAATACAACATCTAAAATAAGAAAAAAACAATCTGCTTTACAAATTGGTTTGAGCAAAAAGAGCATATATAGAGCAATATCTATTGTTAACTCAACGCTTCTGAGGATGAACCAGCCTAAAAGCGTTTTTATTTTTTTTTGGTCCAGTGTCCATTGCTGTTTTATACAAAATCCACCTGGACAAAAACCAGTCTGAAAGACCAAGGCATTTTTTTTCAACTAACACATATTTGAGGCCTATTCACATCAAGAACGATAGCAATACTTATGTCCAACACACAATTACAGTTAAATACACAATTGTTAGCCCTTCTGTGAAATATTAATGCATTTCAAACATTTCCCAAGCACTGTTAAGATTTTACAGAGATATTTTCTTTCAACATTTTTAAACATTATAGTTTTAATAACTAATATCTAATAACACTTTTTTTGTCTTTGCTACATCAATACACCTACATATAATCTTTTATCCTTTCAAGAGTTTACACTTAGCTGATGATTAATTATAAAGTGAGTTTGGCATGCTGTCCCGGCAGAGAGCCCTGACCTCATGATCTTTGAGCCCATGGCTCCCTCTCGTTTGCAGGGTGACAGGGGAGTTTGAGCTCAGGTAGGTCTCGAAAACTCCTCCTTTATTTAGACCTCATGACAGTTAAAAAATTGCTATTTAGAGATATACTGCTGGTTAAGAGTTTGACTTTAATGCTAATATAAATTAATTGATTAAATTATCACACATGTTTTGGATTGTGGGAGAAAACCGGAGAAACTGGGAGAAACCCAGAAGCGAGCACAGGGAGAACATGTAAACTCTGCACAGAAATGACAACTGGCCTGTTAAGGATTTGAACCAGTGACGGTAATGCTACTGGGGTTGTGGGGGAGTGGGGGGGTGGTGGGGGTTCTTCAAGGCGAAGATAACAGAGGTAAGAAACTCTGGTTATTTATAGTGAGTTAATAATCATCTGATTGGTGAATCATGCGTTAGCTAATGCAGGACCAACTGTGATCAATCATAAGCACGTGCCACTCTCAAAATTAGTTTATAAATAAACTTGCATAATAATTGGTCCACATACACATTATTTACAAAAAAAAAAAAATTAATTGCCAATTGTAGACTCTTGATATAAATTTAGAAACTACAATCATGAATCCTATCATAAATAGGGGTCTGTAGTGCTAAATCTTTTAACTGTGCGTAGTACTGTAAATGTGTGTTAAATGAGCTTGCAATCAATAATGATCAAGGATAAGATATGTTCTGACTGCCTGTCATTTTGTCAATCACCAGGTGGTCAAATATTGTTCTTTTGTCCCAGTTTCATTTTATATTTTGGAGTAAAATTTGCTGTTCTTCCTTGAATGATTAAGGAAAAACTTAATCAGTTCTTTCATAAAATGATTTATAGACTGACATCACTATTATTATCGCTAGTTATCATCCTTGGTGTGAATGGCCCTTTATTCTTTGTAGATTTCAAATACAGTAGTGCTCATTATAACAATGCATGGAGGAAAAACACATATTGGCACTTTCTTTCAAAAAGCGGTAGCATGGGATGCTTACTAAAATTCCCATGAAGAGAAAACCACAGTCTCCATCAAGCTGATGATGACCATGGACTTCAGTAGGAGCTATCCGAATCAGAGCCGTCTACTCCATAAAGCTGAGCCAGGGTCCTGAACCGAGGTCCCCACTCATGTATAAAATCATAATCCAGGTTAGACCCACTGGACGACGAGTCCAAAGAGCTGAGGGAACCAGCTAGTGATTCGGTTCCCTCATAGCCATAGATGTGTAATGTGTCATAGGGAATGCCATCTCGATCACGATCTGCCTCGTCCTTCTTCACCTCGATCATCATGGCCATGTCACCCTTACAAGCAGGAGGTTTCTTGACCATGGCATAAAGTGCAGGTCCCACACTGGGCCGAAAGCTGCTATCGTGACAGGCAGAAGACAGGATGGAGACATCGTAGCCATTGGTGTCCATTTCTCCTCCGCCCTCCTCGTCATATCTCACCAGCTGCTCATGGATTTCGCCAGATGCCTTGGTGACAAGAACTTCTTTCTGATAGCGCCGTCTCAACACAATGAGGATTACGATTACTAAACAGAGAAAAATAAGCACAATTAATATTATTTTAAAACTGCAGAAAGGTAGATTTCCAGGAACAGGGTTGAGCACCCCTGATGTAAGGGATTTATCACCTGACTGTCATGATATTGACCTATAGGCTGCAAAGCCCAACCCCAGCAATATTTAGAATAGTCCTTTATTTTATATGTATGTTTAGAGTTAGTTAAAGGTTTTAAACAAATTAAACTATACAATGATGATAAAGTACGATGGGTAACATTTTACAATAAAGTCTCAATAGTAAACAAAGTTAATGCATTAAAATCAACAGTGAAAAATAGCCATATTATAGTTATTATTATACTTCATAGAAATACTATTTTATTTCCCTTTAATAAAACAATTACAAATTTGGTAAGTTTATTTTGGTGGTCTATTTGAGTATTAGTAGACTGTCTGCTTAATATCTGTTGATATTGCTCCTTCAGCTGGCATTTAACTGACTATAAAAAACTTTTAAGTGTCCATGATATCAATATTGTGTATGTCACAATATATTGAATATCAGCATACAGTCAAGCCCGAAATTATTCATACTCCTGACAAATTCTGATTTACTTTACCAGGAAGTTTTGTATTTATACTTTTTAAAATGCTAATTTGTTTTTGGAGATCTTCAACAAGGTCAAAAAAAGATTTTTTGTTTGTTTGAAAAATTCACTATATATATTGGAGCAACAACTGAAATGGTTTATCCAAGGAACCAGCCTCTCTAAAACCTTTATCTGCTCTGATTGGTAAAATCTCTTGTGATCTATGAGTTTCAGCTCTGAATGTTTCTTCAACACTTGCATATATAGTGATTCAAACAGTAACCATGGCTACAGTTTTCTACATACATTTAAGTCTTTACCTTTTGGAAGTTGGAATATTGCCCCATGCCTATTAGGCTATTATCACTCGATAGAAGACAATAATGTAGCACTCAGCTAAAAAACATTTATTAGATTAGATAAATAGAATTATTGATTAATTTAGCAAATATGAGATACTGAATTAGACATATTATTTGCAGAACAAATAAGGGCACTAAAATAGAGCTGAAACACAGAACTGTCCAGGAAAAATATAATATAGATATATATAAATATAGATAAATGTAATATCTAAAAAAATCACAACAAAGCTCTTTAACATTATAGTTAATGTTGATTTACAAATTTAACAAGTCAGTTTTTTTTTTTTTTTTGCAGACAGGAACAGTGTCTTAACAACAAATATGAATGTGTACTGTAGAACTGTAACAACGAGTTACAATTCTTTCTTTATTGCTTATATTCACACATACTTATTTTATCTTAGATTTATTTTTATCTAAACTCTCTTTCTATGTAATCTAAACTCTTTATAGATTTTAACTGAAAGAGAACATCAGGTGGAACTTAGCCTCAAGCCTCAAGGCAGCGCGTGAAAGCGAGTATGCTTCTGTGACTGAACATTAATTAGTGGCTTGTCTTGTTAAGTGTAAACATCTACTTTATAAAAGGTGTACATATAACTGTCTTCATCTCACACTCTCTCGAAGAGTAGCTAAATCTGTCACTGAGGTGATATCTTTTCCAAAGGTACTGATATGTATACTTCAGTTAATAAGGGAAAGACAGCCCATTGTCATGTGGACCTATATACAAGTGATTATATGCACATAGAAAGCATTCATTCATTCATTCATTCATTCATTCATTCATTCATTCATTCATTCATTCATTCATTCTGCTTTGGCTTATAATGTTTCAGTTATAGTTATGTAAAAATGAAACAACATATTCATTCTAAAATGTACTTATTAAAATATATAACATAGGCATGGGACTATAACCGGTCATAATGTTTACCGTGGTTTGGAAAACAGTACAAAAACAAGACTACAGTATTTCCAGCAGAAAAGACCCCTCCAACATGTTAAGCCTGACGTGTTTAATGTTCCAAAATATTTACAATGTTTCTTAAAAATAAATGACTCCATGGTCAGTTCAAATTCTTGATTTAGATTGGCTGGAAGGTGTGCATTATTTTTGTTGAAGCGCACAGCTGGTTCCTGTCAATTTTGATCACAAATTGAAACAAATGCACTTCTTCCAAACGTTTGTAGTTACCATAGTATCTGGCAAGTAAAATACTCATCAATTATGCCACAAAATCAAGTTACAATTTTCAAGCAAGACTATAGTTTTTTTATTTTTTAAGTCAAAATGGCAGTTTATGTATAAAGATAGAGCATAACATATTTTAGGCAAGTAATCACAATATCGTGATATCATGAAGTCGTAATATTTTTATCTAAGCTGATGATACTGTCAGAATCTTAGATCCGGCCTATACCTAATGTAAAGCACAATAAATCTTTTTTCAAAGCTTTTTGTACCAATTTACAAACTGGTTGAAAACTTATTACAACCAAATGTGTAGACATTTTTTGGGGTTTGAAGAATGAAGGCAAAATATAAGGATTTTAAAAGATAATTAGTATTTTGGGGCAATCGTTTTTACTAATTTAGGTGAATTGATCACCAAAAAATTAAGTTGTCATTCTCAAACAAGAATTGTGTTTCAACTTATTTTAAATAAGTATTTTGAACAAGCAGCAAAAGTAACTTGTTTGTGTATGACCATCCATATACCATCACATAATCTTTTATAACTTAATCAAATAATGTTTCCTTTTAAAAATGTGTTTAATTTGTTTCTTTACTAAAGAATGAATGAATACTTTGTCACTTGCTTTAAACATAATTCTTTGTAATAGAAAAAAAAAATCCATTTGAGATGAACCTACCCAGGATGGTAATGATACAGAGAAGGATGGCGAGGAGGGCACTGACACTCATTCCAGTCCTTGCGTAGGACATGCAGTACTCCACCCGTCGACCCGACTGACATGTGCACACTTTAATCTGCAGCAGGTTAACACTCTTTTGCTCTGGCGTTCCTCCATCAGCAATCTCAATTTCCAGCACATATTCCTCTGAATTCTCTGTACTGAAACCTCCTTGCTTCAGCACAATTGTCGCAGTATTATCTACAACCAGAATGAACAATCAAAAAGATGCACTGGTTCTTTTTGCTCTTAATCAGGGGAAACTGCAGATTTTTTTGTACCCAAACAATTTTCGTCAACAGTGCTATTGTTGACTTTCTATTCTGATTTTGTTTTCTCTTGATGCTTGGAGGGAAACGTTGCTGAGGTTCTTGTGACAATTCAATGCAACCAAGCCTAAGAATATCCCATTTCACACAATAGTAGGAAGAGTAAATCTTCACTTTGGCATTCGTGTGGCCTGGATTAAAATGTTCATCTAGCGTATTCTGAGGACAATCTGGTATAACAACATTCTGAAATCACTAAATAAAAGTTAGATTTCTAAGGTTGGAAATAAATGTATTTATTTTATAGGTTTTGAAGAAGATTTCTATTCTCTCAGTGTGAAGTATTTTCTAAGTGTAAAACAAGTTAATTTTCTCTTCACAAAATGTATGTAGTGTTTGCAGCAACCATGCCAGCGTGTGTTAAAAATACTGTGTAAGATGAGTATGCCTGCACAGGAGCAACACTAGGAGAAAGCTGAGTGACTGATTGTGTAGAATAACTGAATATGTAAAGCACTGATTATATATGTTAAATACTTCTATGAAGCTATATGTGTCAGAAGTTAGAATGAGTAACATATTATCAAGTGATTATGCTTTCATGACAATGTATGTAAACACAATCCTTTTGCATAAGTTGCATCTATGGAGAGAGAAAATTGGTGTCAAAACAGTTGCTGACACAGACCTGTAACATCTATGTTGACATGAGCTAGTGGGCTGAGAGCCAAGAATAGCAGGACCCCTTAGACTAGAAAACCTATTCAAAAATGGTCAAAAGTTAAAAAGAGACACATAGGGGTGTGTCAAAAACATAAATAAAGGAGAAGGAGCAGAAGAGACTTTAGAAGGTGTCCAGGAGAGACTTCAAAATGCTCTGGGGTCTGCTCTGCTCTTTCTCGGCTTTATTATGGAGAATAAAGTCTATTTTCTGATATTCTAAACCTCCGGTCTGATAATTTGTAGTTGATGAGACATCAAATTTACGACAGTTTACATGAAAGAGAAATTAGAAATAATTGAAACAATATATTCATTGTTGGTTGGTTGTAAGCTGTCCTACGTCAAATGATTGTTATATGTCTGCTGTGCTTTTATAAACTTTTGTGTCACGAAAAAAAAAATTAAAATATGTTTATATACTTATATAAAAATTAAGCAACATGTTTGACTTTTATTTTCTTTGGTTAGAAAATAAAAACAAAGAGGACATTTCCATTGTATGAAGAGGAGATTTTTTAAAAGGATTTTTTGTGTGTGTATAATAAATGTATAAATATAGTATTAAACAACAGAAAGGTATGATTTCAAGTCTCCTAATTTCAGTCAATGCATTATTTCTGTCCACTTAAAACTTTACTCTGTCATATTAGTTCATTATACAGCTGTGAGGAAAGAAGATTCATTGTTTCTTGGTATGACACATTCAGAACACCGAGTGTCAGATCACAGATTCACTGTGCAGGTCTGCTGCTTTCAGTGGCTTGTACCTAATGCATTTTGCAGTGCTCTGGTGTGTTTTTGTTTTATTCTTCTTATGCCTGATTACACTATGATGAGCAGAAGGACAGGGAATATGGATTTAAATTTTACGCTGTGCTCACACATGAAGTTCATTTCTTAATTTTTACTGTTTTCAATGACCTGATTTAAGGATAAAAAAAATAAATAAAAATCCGTATATGTAATAATATGTGACTTCCTGTGTTGTTTTTTGGTCTACTTTTATGTATTTGATATGCTTTGCATTTATATTTCTATTAAACCAATCCAGACTTCCTATTAAACAGAGCAAGATCCATCTTTTTAGTGGTTTTGGTCTGTTTGCACACTAAGAGTGGGATAGCTGCATTCACACTTATTCAAATTAAGCAATCTATAATGTGATTGATTACAGTTATAGTAACAATTTATAAGCACTCTGTGAATGATCTTTAGTAACCCACCTTGGTTATCATAGAGGGAAAAGTTTGAGCTCTTTCTTGCAAGAGTGAAGCGAAACCTGCCTGAATTTTCATCCTTGTCGGAGGCACCAATAGTCCCAATTATCTGCAAGAGAGCAATGAATGAATACAGATATTTTCTAAAGGTCAATCGTTATACATGTGTTCATATGAAATGCATTAGAACAACTCCTTACTGTGTTAGGTTTATCATTCTCACAGACATACACGTAGCTCCCATTGGTTAGTTCTGGTGCATTGTCATTAATGTCCAGAACCTTCAGGCTAACCATAGTAGAGGATTTAAGACCTGCGGATTCAGAGCAAAAAATTAATATATAAGATATAAAGACATATAAATCATCTGTGGATGATGATTATTAATCTTGTCTCATACACAGCATGCTACTATTGTACCAACAATAGTATTCTACCAACATACAGTATTTGTACTCCATAAGTTTACATCTTACCATTGTTTAGTTAGGGTTCTTTGGTAATTAATGTATAAAAAAAGTAAAGATTAAAAAAATATATAATATAATAACAAAATTATAATATTTAACAATTATAATTATACAAATATACATAATATTTAGCACTGCAAACAAAACAGTTCCCAGAAGTCCTATTCTTATGGGTTTCTTGAAGCGAATTCACGATTAACAGACCATTTAGCCAGCACTAATTCAGCATGCCTGTGATTCTTCCACTATACAAACAAAACTGTGTTGACACTTTAAAAAAATACAAATAAAAATAAAATAATACTAATAGTATATGCTGGACACATTTAGACACCTTTTTAAAGCTTATAACAAGTAGCTATTATTGTATAAATTGGGCTTTTGCATTAATTAAAGGTAAAAATTTACAATAATAATAATAATCACAATAATAATAATCACAACAACAATAATAATAATAATAATAATAATAATAATAATAATAATAATAATAATAATAATAATAATAATAATAATAATCACAACAACAACAACAACAACAACAACAACAATAATAATAATAATAATAATAATAATAATAATAATAATCATTTAATCATTTGGCAGATGTCTTTATCCTAAGTCACTTACAAATAAGAACTGCTAACAGACAGAAAGAGAGGGAGAGAAAGAGATAGGTCTGTAGTTAAAATGTCAAATATGTACATTATATACAGTATATTACAGCACATAAAGCATGGCTCCATCACTATCTTTTTTTAAATCACTCCTAAAAAAAATCCTTGGCTTTTTAATATTATTTTCAATATTATTTTGTCCTTTCTACTGCTAAAGTTTTTTTTTTTCCAGCCATTTCTCTTATTTTTATGTTTTATATTCTGCCTTTTTATTTCACTTTGTCTTATGAACAGCACTTTGGTCAGTCTTGTTTTTAAATGTGCTCTATGAATAAATGAACTCGAACTTGAACATAAAGTTTATTTCCAAACTTGTATTGCATTTGCCATACTTGCATAAAATGTGGAACTTTTCCAAATGAGTCATGAAAGCATCCTACCATTCAAAACATCTTCATGTGCTGTAACCTGGAATGTATATAAGGATTCTTGCTCTCTGTCCAGTGTCCTCTTCAAAGACAAATATCCATTTACAGGATCCACATCTACAGGACAGTTTGCATTTTCAATGGTATACCTGTTGGGATCGAAATCAAATGTCACCATTAAATAATTAAACATTAGGTTTCTTGAGCTCCATCTACACATATAAGACAGTTCAAAAACTTTTTTTATCTTGATATATAAATAAAAACAGAGTTCAGTTTATACCGTATTTTATAACTGGCACTATCTGGGTCTTTTGCTGAAACAGCTCCAATGACAGGATTCTTGAATGGGCCCTCGAACACGCTAAACGTGTACTCTGTTTGGTTAAAAATAGGTGGTTCATCAACATCAGTTACATCAATGATTACTTCGGTTCTCTTCAACAGCCCTTTGTTATCAGGTGTTCTCGATACTGTGTGTTCTTCCACAATTACGATAAACTTGTGTGTCTTCTCCTTTTCATAGTCAAGAGGCTGTAAGTGTTTCAAAAAAAAAAAAGTCCAAGTAAACAACATGGCTCAGTCTTAAATAATGTTTAATAACTAGTTTTGTATAAAATATTTGACACACTTACCACTTTGAGGCTTAGCATTCCATCTTTCTCTTTAGTTCGTTTAATATCAAACACATCATTGAATTTAGATTGTAGCGCAAATGTTGGATCTTTGTTTTGTATCTCGTCTTTGTCCTCCACCTCTAAAAGGCCAATTTCACTTCCGGGTTTCAAGTCTTCCTTCACTGTAAACTGGTATCTTTCTGTAAAAGAAAGTGATGTTTTGTTGGTGCTGCTGACTTTATACAGTAGCATGCAGTTTAGCTTAAGTATTATTTTATTTGCCTTTCTTAAAGGTGGCAATGTTGTCATTTATGTCTTTTATGTTGATGGTAACAACGGTAGTGGCAGAATTCCCAGTCAGGTGTTCTGGCATGTCTTTGGCTTGAACAGCAATAAGATACTGACTCTGTTTCTCACGGTCGAGGTCACTTTTCAATGCTATTAGGTCACCTAAAAAAAAAAAAAAAACAGTGGCAAACAAAGCACACAAATCAAGATGTTCTCCGTTTCAATTCAGTCGAAATGTAAAAGTGCTTGATTTTAATGTACTGAAATATTAAATCTTATACATGCTTATTGACAAATGTGTATTTATTTAGTTGAATAAAAAAAACCCCTACAAAATATTGTCATCCACTGAATACCATATTAATAATTTATGACAATTAAATTAAGTCAATCTCAATCTAACAGTCTGTTTGTATGTTGTAGCTCAAATGAATAAACAAAAAAGTCTGTAAATGTGTTAATTTAGATCAGTTTTTCTTTAAATAAAACCTAAAAAAGTAACTTTAGACAGTTACTTTATTTATGTACTTTATATAGGTGTAAAATCACTGTCTATATTGCATTCCTAATCAAATAAATACAGTCTTGGTGTTACCATTGGGCTTGATTTTGAAGAGGTCTGTGCCATTTAGTAGTTTGAAGTCAATCCTTCCATTTTCAGTGGAGGAATCATCAGCGTCTGTTGCTTTTACTTTCATTATAGTTGTTCCTACAAAGTCAATGTATTTGAAAAATGAAAAAAAAAAAACAATTTCATTTTTGATACATTCTTTTTTTTTTACTTGCATTAATTCAGATAACTGTCTATTCTTGTTAATTTTTTTGTCAATACTGCATATTATTCTAAATGCTGCCAACACAGAAAGCAACATGCATCAATGGACAAGCACATGCTTGTGTTAGTCTGTTACCTGCTCTAGAGGATTCGCTGATGGATCCAGATTGGTCAGAATCGAAAACGGGGATGTTGTCGTTAATATCCAGTACTACTATTACAAATGATTCATCTTTGTCAACTAACTCTCCAGTATGTATGTTGAGGAGAGAAGCTGAGAGATTGTAGACACTTTGTGTTTCCCGGTCCAGCTTTGCAAGGACAACAATATCCCCATTGTCAGTTACACCAAACTTGTCTTTAGCTCCATCTCCTTTGAGAATATATCTTGTGGACGAAGAAAAAAATGTATTTTCTAGCTAAAAGAAAAAAGAAATACACACAAAATAATTATAAACAAAGGCAATCATTATTTAAAAACAGCAGTTCCTAAATGCCTCTTCAATTAGATCTAATTTATAACTGGATAGTACATTGAGAATGTTATTTGAACTGATGACAAAATCATGATTTAATAGTTTGAAGATACTTTTTCACTATTAAATTCTTGCTCATCAGTAGAATATTACCAAAATATTGGCTGCTTTTAATGCTATACTGTATAATACCTTTTTCCTGCATGACCCAAATTTTGATTCCTTAAAGGTGACATCGTACTACATTTTCACTTAGATTCTTAACAATGAAGCGATCCTGGCATGCACTCTACTTTGTGTATGTAGAGGTTCACAGGTGTCCTTAGACAAAATACCACCTTCAGAAAAGGCAATAGTAAAGCTGATTAGTTTTATTTGTGAAGGGAATGTTCCAGAAAGAGTGGGCAAAAACATGTTTGTGTGAGTAAAACATTTCCGGACTTACTGTACATCAAATTGCATGCAAAGATGTAGCTGTACCTACATTGTGTCTGAAAGATAGAACATTTTAATATATAATTCATTATTGTTAATTTATGTTACAGTAAGCAAATGACAGCTTCAGTTTACTGGTGTTAGAATCACATCATCATCCTCTCACATGCAGAACTGTGATTATTAATGTGGTGTGGTGCAGATGAGCAATTTTAGCTTACTTTTATTATTATTAAATTATGTCAGATTGAAGTTGTACCTCAACATCGTTATTGGATTTTGATTGGAAATGAAAACTTGGACTTTGGTTGGTTGGTTAATTCCAAAACTTAAAACCAACCAAAAATCAATGTCTACCAATGTTATACATTGACGTTGTATGGACATCATTCTGACATTAATATGATGTTGGATTTTGGTTAGTTAATGCTACAAATTTTAACCAACCAAAGATCACCATCTACTGTTGTTAGACCTAGATGGTGTATGGATGCCACATTATAATGTTAAGATGACTTTGGTTAGTTAATTTCACAACCTAAAATCAGCCAAAGATCAACGTCTACTGATACTTATACTTACGTTGTATTGACGTCTTATTATGACTTTATTTGACGTTAAACTGACATTGGACTTTGCTCCCCTGACATCGTGACCAAAATATAATCAAATACCTATATCATATGACGTTGTGTGCCTGTTGGGGATATGCTAAGAACCTAAAGAATCAACTTGTGTAAAATGAGCATCCAATGTCACCTTTAATCCTTTAATTAACTATTATTGCACAGCAAATGTAATGTTGTCTGTGGAAGAAATCACAGCTAATTGTGTGAACGGATCTCTCCAAATTAAAGTGTGATCCATTTGTTTACAAGACCGTCTACCTTTCCAATCTTTTCAGGTGGGTTTTTAGGTCGTGTTTCCTCATACGCATACAGTTTATCCCATTTCCAATCTCTTTTATGTCTTTGAAGTGCTGCACTCGAGATAGATGGTGTTTTCTGAGCTTGGTGGACATCGACTCCGATACTGAGGCTACATAATGCGAGCAGGACAGCAACCCTGAAGACAGGCTCAGTCATCTGCCTTCTGGCACACTGTTTCATCATCTGCAGAAAACAACAAAACAAATATCTGTATGATAATTCATGCCTTGTAGTGCTGCAGTGTTGATGGTTTCTTTACCCATACAGTACATACACTTTAATGTTGGAAAGAAAGAAAGACATTATTGCAAAAGTCATAATTATATAAAAAATGTAAACACCAGCAATTTCAAAAGCAGCTTTACATTATTAAAGAGGGAAATAACATAAAACAATGATGCAAACACACTGTAACATAATCAATAATACAGACATATGTCAAATATAAAAGACCATTATTCACTTCACATCACTTCAATACTGGTCGTTTAGTTCAAAAGTTCGAGTTTACTTAACAACTATAATAAGTAGTATAATGACCTACATGCAAAACAGGCCTGGAAAAAAAAATGTCAAAAAAAAAAGTGCTAACAAATGATTTGCTTCCAGTATTTTATAATTCATCAGCATTTTGCAGTTATTTAAGCATTTTTATTGTGCAAAACGTTGTGTGATTGTTGACTCATTAGATAAATATGAAGTCTGAAAGTAAAATAGTACTTTGAAAAAGTATAATTTTGGTTCAAACTTTAAAAATAAATTTCAATCTAAATCAAAAATATTAATTGTGGTAAAAAAAAATACATTCACACAAGGTAAACATATTGTTTATTATAGAAAATTATTATTCTCTATATTACACTAATTATTATTATTTTTTTACTTTGGTAAAATGTAGATTTTTATTTAGATTTTTTTTTTGTCTTTTTATCATAACATCAAAGTATAATTTTGCTTTTGATTAGCCTAAAAAAACTGTCATTTCTTACACTTTCCTCAAATTATATCGTTGACTTGTTTGAAACTAAAAGTGAAATTAATATTAATCCAAATATTTATTCTGCCAAAGGGGAAAAAAATTCATACACTAAAATGTAAAATATTTTTATAGAGATCATAAATTAATTTAATTACTTTGGTTGAACTTGATTTTTGTCCTATAAAATCAAAGTAAATTTGTACTTTGGATTAAACTATAATAAGTACAGTACATGTAACAAGATGCTATGCTATTGCTAGTAATTTTATTTTAAAGATCTGAGGTAAACAATCTGTTGTTGCTTTCAGTATGGCTATAAATGTCACATAATGCTGCGTTCACACCAGACGTGGAACGTGCGTCAAGCGCGAGTGATTTACAAGTTAAAGGGCACGTATGGTGGAAAATTTACTTTTCAAGTTGTCTGGACAGACATGTGTATAAATATAGTGTATATACTGACATATTGGGGTGATACTGGAAAGAAAGAAAGAAAGAAAGAAAGAGTTTGCTTATCTGTGTGTGTTTATACAGACAGCTTATTATAGTCTGTCTGGACTCCGTATAGCTGGGTGGTTTTCGGTTTTGTTCTCCCCCCGTTTGTTAGCGGGAAGGAACGCGGCGGGTAGCGGGACAACAAATCCTGAATTTTGGCGGGAGCGGTCGGATTCGGGCAATATTTAATCCCGGATTCAATATTTAGTCCCGCGCAGATCTCTACCACAGAGTGCCATCTGAACATGCGAATATCTGTGTTTGTTGTGCCAAGTCGCGGCTCTAAGTGGGTCGTTAGTCTGTGTACAAACTCGGCACTTTAAACTAGCACACAGTTGGCCGAGAAACTATACAAAGACAAAAATGATTGTGTACTCTCTGCTTGGTCTGTGGCCGAGGCGTACATGTACGGCTGAATGCAGCTCCTCTCATGCAGCGTCTCTGTCTGCCTGTTTGTTGCCAAACACAGAGCGGGCGAGCTCTTGGCTCCACCCCCTTGATACGTTGGGCGGGAATTTGAAACAAATTTTCATGTGAAGCTACACGCCCCTAAAACAGCAAACTATGTACACGCCCCCAAAATAACACTTTTGAACACATTATAATAAAAACATCTGAATGTTTGAATCAAATATTCAAGCGGCTATTCACGTGAGAATAGCGTGATTTATCTACACGTTCCGTATCTGGTGTGAACATAGCATAAGATGGATCAAACTCACAGTACATATATATATATATAAACAAAGGATCACATAAGCAGTATCTGAGAGTATCTACAACCCAGGCTCATTCTGAAAATGTACCACTAATACATTTCTGGAGAGTGCCAAATGGAGTTTTTTTTTCAGATTTTGTTTTTGCAAATCCTCCAGAGGCCACTGTGTATGCTTTGTGAGATCTCAAATTTTTCTTGCTAGTGCCATTCGTGCCTGCTGTTCTCATGTAAATCCACCAGAAGCTGCTGTTGACTGACTGACATACATTTCTAGAACCGTTCTTCACTGGACTCGAACTCTGTCAATGCGGTCAGTTCCTCTCTGTGTTTCAAGTCCGCCGACCTACATAGTTAGCCACCGTAAAAACTGCTAACAAGTGAGAAAGCCGTCCATATGGAGGCAAGCGGTAAGCTGGTAGGCCCAAAAAGGAAACAGGAAGTTTTAAATACAAAATGCAACCATACGTGCGGCTGCATAATCCGTGATCTCCAGAAGCGTATATAGGGCTACGTTTTCAGAATGAGTATATGTTGGTTATATTGTCCAAAATAGGCTCAGTCTGAAAATGTAGCCCTATATACTAGGGATGTAACGGTATTGTAAATACCGTCATACCGCAATATTAATTTTTTTCGATATTACCGAAGTCGCATGACTCGGTAAAACTATAGGTCTTCTGAGAAAATTTGCTCAGGCGAATGAAGCGAACGGGAGGTAACGAAAACTACAATTGCCATCAGCCCGTGCTTGACCATCATCCCTTGCGGTCTGTTGTTGCTACAGATCCAGTAATGCGGAAATGGAGTGTGCTGCTAGAAGCGGGGATGAAAAGAGCTGGAAAACTCTAAAGCAGGTCGCACACCAGAAGCGCCGCTCGGCGCCGCAACACGGCGCGTACATGACAGATTAAAGTATCGCACATCAGACGCGCACATTCGAATGATATTTAACATAAAACTAATCAGATGGCGCTCTGTGGCGCGGCTGAAAAATGAACTGCGTCCTGAGCCGTCGCCGGGCGCCGCCGACAGCCGCCGACTTGCGGCGCCGGTGTGTGTATCCTGATAAAAAACCTATGTTTAGAATTCTAAAATACGTGGCGCTGCGCGGCGCGCCGCCGAGCGTCGCTTCTGGTGTGCGACCTGCTTTACACGCACAGTTCAGTTCTGCATTATCTCCGTGTAAGTTCAGACTTCGCAAGTTTGATCAAGGCTGCAGTCTCTTCTTCTCAGTTTGATATGGAAAAGCAGATTATACCGAGGACACGGGTAAATCTTCAAAGGGAACAGTGTACTTTATAACTTCATTCACATCACCCTGGCTTCGTTGTTTCACTTTCTCAACAATAAAATGTAAACATGATTTAAGGAACTGCCTATTTTCATTTTAATATTAGCAACTTAGACAGCAGAAATGTTGAGGCGCCGTGCTGCATGAGCGTTATCACTGTGTGGATATTTATAACAAAACGGAGCCGATAACAACTGCCTCCTTTCAATTTCAGTGAAAATACGAAACACACCCTCTCTTCTGCTGAGTATCAGTTTTAATAATCGATAATGGCCATTATAAAAGTATAACACAATAAGTTTATACATTATAGGAAATAAAGGCAAGCGATCAGTCAATATACAGAATGTACGTGGTTACATTAATCATTAACTTATCTTTGCGCTCAGCCAAAACACGTTACCTGAGAACAAGTAATAGATTCCAATGCCCAAAGTCAGGGAATATGTCGTTAGATAAAGACAACAAGATAAATGAAATATCCTGTTTAATAAATATAGTGAGATTAGATCCAGCGGGAGATGCTTGATGAGAAGTCCGACTAGCAGAGCTCTCATCTGGGTAGATGGGCTGAGTGTGATTAAATGTTGAATGTGATGAGTTTTTAACAATACTAAATTGAAACTTTATTTTTTTACATGGTTTAATAATTTTTTGTTATTAAAATTGAAGTTCCTGTTTCAAAGCTTACAGATAGATGACTAATTTGTATGTCATTGACACTTTTGGCACTTTTTTGGAGTATTTTCATAAGTTTTGTTTTTTCCTGTAAATGATTCAATAAATACCGTACCGTGACATTCATACCGAGGTATTACCGTACCGTGAAATTCTGATACCGTTACATCCCTACTATATACCTTTCTGGAGAACACAAATTATGTAGCCAGAGCTACGTATGGCTGCATTTTGTCTTTAAAACTGTTTGACGCTGTTCCTTTGCACTTACCAGCTGACTGCTTATCTCTATATGGACGGCTTTGTCTGGTAGCTCGACACGTACGCCGACAGACTTGAGATACAGAGTGGAGTTCAACAGTAGGCAGTGGGTAAGACAAAAACAGAAGCCAAAAAATAAAATAAACAAGTAAATAACAGTGTGAGAATGTGCTAAAATCTGAAAACGTGGTAAATATCAGAGGGCTTTACTTTTTTTAGATTGCTGATTTATTTTTTGCTTTAAGGCAAATTTAAGGCAAATAAAATAGATTATAAGAAACCATAATTTTTCACTTAACATATTTCACTTTACACTTAATCCAAAATAATGATGTACTTTCAATGACCCATTTTATTATCCAGCCTCTGGTGCCTATACTGCAGCTTTCCTCCCCACTATCGTCACTGGCTTGCTTGGTTTAGGACTTGTGGAGCTGCGCATACATGAATTTGCACTTCAGTGTTTGGACTTTCAGCAGTGAAAATGAAACCACACTGAACTAAGCTGAACTGAACTTCAACTCTGAAAACTGGATTCACACCGTTTCAATGTACTAGAACATCTAGCTGCTTTGACACAATCTACACTGTAAAAGCGCTAGATAAATATGAATTGAACTGAACTAAATGAAAGAAAATAGTTTAGAGACATACATCTTCTGTATAATTGTGCACATCAAACATCAATAACCGTATTTATGTTTCATGTAAAAATTACATTCATTAGTCTACTCTTGTGTGTTATGTTCATGTTTAAAGGG